GAGACACTTCTTTTTTTTAATTTAGAGCTAACTACAGAACTTCCTATTTATTAATCAAATGAGCATTTCACTCCTAGAGCCAATTCTTTCATAATAGGATAACTTTGGCTTAAGAAAAAAAAAGGATCATATCAGGCAAATTCTTTATGACACTACATAAGAAACAAAGCCAGTCAAATTCTAATGAGATTTTGATAAGAGGTTGAGCAAATTTCACTAAGGAAAACACAGAGAACCAAAGGCAGCAATATATTTCCACGTAGAGTGGTTAAAAATAATCAAACCATACTGTATGAATACTGAATTATGAGCTGTATGCTATACATATATGATTATATTTAATTATAGCAAAACTCTACAAAGTAGAATCAATTATTCCCAATTCTGAGGAGATACTGAGACTGAGAGCCATGATGTAACTTGCAAGATTATATAACCATCACAGGACTGAACTGAAATCCAAATTGAAATTGTGTATGACACGAGTTTTTGCTCCTCTTTAGCACTACACCTTCCTTTAGCAATTAGAGCACAGGGAGGAAAGAAGGAAAGTGAAAGGTGTTTCTTTAAAAGATCTGACATTGTGTTTGCCAGCCCATCACTCATGTAAAACCCAAGTTAAGGGGAGATACCAGAAATTGGAAAACTGGGCTAGGTCAAAATCAGAATCTTGGATGTAGAAGTCTGTCCCTGGAAAAGGCAAAGGGTCAGACATAGGAAAGGGAAGCTTAGTAGATTCCTTGTCTCTCCATACGGGCACCAATTTTCTTTCTTAGCCCTAAAAGCTTCTATTATTTCTTTTAATTCTGCAAAGTACTTGTGATGCTGTTAAATATTTTTTCAACAAGAGAAGTAGTTGATAACTACAGAAGTGATCAATTTTTATTTCTAAGTTAAATGTCAAGCGTGCTATAAATGTTCCTCAAGAATTAAAGTTCTGTCATAATACTACAGCGATACTATAAATTAATTTTGTACTGATAATTCATTAACTGTTTTATTTATATTTATATTATTTTTTAAGAACTAGATTAGATTTTTGCTATGATTACTGTAAGCTCCAATTTCAACTTGTTTGAAATTAAATCAGAAAATTCAAATGACTGGAATTACTTTTTTCCTCCAAATATAATTACCTATTTTGATGAAAAGAAGACAAAGGACAAGTAAGCAAACAGCAAACCGAAATGCATTATTTAGTTTTAAGTACTTTTGTAGTTAAATCTGACACTTGGAGTACCTCAATTCCTCTGTAATCACGTTAACTATAGGAACTTACTCTATTATTATTTTTTCCCAGAGTATATCATTAATATAGTAATGAGCCAACGAAATGAATGTTTTATACTAATATCAAAAGGTGTTTATTATGATGACTGTGAAGTAAATTTAAAATTAAAATATAATTAAATTATTTAAAAATAATAATTAAATTAATTAGAGTAAATTAGAGTTAGCCATGCAGTGTTAGGGAAAAGAAAATCTGTAGAGTAGCAGCAGATAAGACCTGAAGCACAAGTGATTACACCCAGAATGGCCAGAGGGACACATGGCTTAAAAAGGGACAACTAGACCAGGAAGGCTAAGTAGGCCATGGTAGGAAGTCTGGACTTTAGTGTAAGAGTAACTGGAAATCACTGAAGAGTTTTACCCAAGAGAGTTGCATAATCAGATTTAAACTTTTCAAGAGATCACTCTAGCTAATGAAGGTAGGAGCAAGAATCAGTATGGGGAAAACTGTCAGGAGACCACTGAAGCAGCTTTGCAGAAGTTCATGGTGGCCAAAAAGGTAGTGAACGTGGGGAGAAGCAAACACATTTTAGATAAAGAAGATATTTCTATGTGAAAGAATGTGTGTAATTAAAGTAACAAATATTTGATAAATGAATGGTTTTAGAAAGACACTGACCAGCAAAAGGCCTTATATGGTGAGTTTATTTTCTCAATAAACTGCCCAAGGTGGTGCATCTTATTCATCACTTTACAAAAAAAACCCCAAGAAAACATTATTAACTTTTATGCCCTTTCCCTATACTAAAAAAAGAAGACATTGCAAATAAATGATGCTATGTCTTTAAAATACTCTCACATCACCCAATATCACTTAAAAATTCATATTATACAGATCCTTATTTTTGTTAAAAACAAAAAGGATGCCAAATTTTGTGTTCTGCTTAAACCTTTCTTAAATTCTTTCCTTATCAGTTATGCCCTGGTGATTTTTTTACAAGCACTTACTAAATAGTTAACATATTTTAAATGAAATAAAATGTCCTTCAGATTCTGGAAACTTCTAAGGATTATTTTCTTGAGATTTCTCTCTTATTATCTCTCTCCTGCATGCTCTCATATCCTGTAGATGACCATTTTTCCTACTTTGTAGAGGAGAGTAGGCAGAAATCCCTCAATTTACTGCTCTACCCTGGTTCCACCACATATCTACATCACGCCTATTATTTATTTTATCTAGTCTGAGTAGAAAAGGATCCTCCTAGCTGGCTTCTGTTATCTCAGCAGAAAAGTGTCCCTCATGAAATTGAATGGAGTGGAATTACTCTCCCGCTATTCTGGTTCTCATTCCCTATAGTTCCTCAGGTCATGACTATAACACTGATTTCCTTTCCTCTGTCTCTAACCACTTTTTTACTGGTTCCTTCCCATCAGCATATCCATATCCCATTTTTTTTTTTTTTTTTAATGGTATGCGGGCCTCTCACTGCCGCGGCCTCTCCCCTTGCGGAGCACAGGCTCCGGACGCGCAGGCCCAGCGGCCATGGCTCACGGGTCCAGCTGCTCCGTGGCACGTGGGATCCTCCCAGACCGGGGCACGAACCCGCGTCTTCCGCATCGGCAGACGGACTCCCAACCACTGCGCCACCAGGGAAGCCCTATATCCCCTTTTTTTCCATCTTAAAACCACGCTGCATATTCTTTCTAATAGCTACTTAATTTCTCTCCTTGAGCCTTATTGATTTTTCCTTAAAAAGCATCATCAAAGGCTGATTACATACCTCTGTGCATTTGATGGCTGGGTATGTTTCATTATTATACCCATTTTAAAGAGGATAGGAAGCCTGAGCAAGGTTAAATAAACTTTCCAAAGGCTATAAACTATAAAGCAGTTGAGACAGAATTCAAATCAAGACAGTCTCATTTAAGGCTTTATTTTGATTTGTAATATAAAGTTTGATGCCATCAATATCATTAAATGTGTTTATTAGCTTTTGTGTGTTTGTTTTTCTAAATAGTAATATCACAGACATTCAACCCATATTACCTAAAGAAATACATACGAATAATGAGAATACAAATCTATCTTTTAAATATGTGACTATATTAAGTACAAGGCCTTTTTGAAATTTTTAATCTGGTAAAAGCTGTTACATAAAAAAGTATTATTCACTTCTTTCTGATAGTACTTTAAAAGCATAACAAAAATGATAATAGAGTATTATATGCATTTTGTTTTATATTACACAATAATAGATATAAGGATGCAATTTATACTAAAGTGAGTATAAGTACGATAAGATAAAGAAATTATATTTTATGTGCCTATTTAACAATCCAAATTCAATATTATCAGGAGCAAACGGTCCAAGGAACTAATACTGCATTTTAGAAGGGCAGTCTAGTTGTACATAATTCAACAGTATAATGACTCAACTAAGCAACATTAAGAAGTACAAAAGACTATTACTCATAGTAGATAACTTCTAGTTTGCTCCATTACATTATTTTTTCTAATTCCTTAGCTACCTTTTCAACTAATGTAGACAGATGACCCCTTAAACAAAATTAAATACTTAATGTCAATACACTTCTGTCACTACAGTCTTTAATGTATTACTTTAGTCTATAAACATTCATTGAGGGCCTACTATGGGCAAGGAACTATGTCAGGCACTGAATGTAGGAGGATGAAAAATGGGTGACATAGCTGCTATCTGAGGTAGTTCAAGGAGAATGTCAGTAGCACATGAAAGTCACAGGAGACCTCATGAAACTTCTGAAAGTGCATTCATTTAAATAAAAACATTTAACCAAGTTAACACATAGCACAGGCAAATCATATACAAATGCTACTTAATATAGAATATATATTAATGACTAAAGTACATGTTCACATTACTCTTTCTCAAGTGTCACAGCCTCTAAGGGAATAAGACAAAATTTTTGGTTACACTAAAGAACTATTTTTTTTCCCCAGAAAATGTAAATTGTCTTCTTTTTGCATATATATAAAAGAAGTACTACTAGTGAGGAAAGGATTGTGGATATTTTCATATCTCTGCATGGTTCAGGTTTTTGAGGATAAAAAAGTAGAATTTGGGTTAAAGGATAAACCTTAGGAATTAAAAGATGATGGAATAGGTAGTGACAGTCTTATGGAGAGATTTACTTCCCAAGAGGTAAATGTTAACATTTCAAAGGGGGTACAACCTGGAGCCATATATATGTATACAATAGGATTTTTACATTAGGGAGCTGAGGTCTCCTTTTCTCCCTCAGGAGGAGAGGAGGGCAGCTGTACAACAGCTCCTCTGCAAACACCCAGGTTAATAATTTCAGGGTTCCTCTCTTCTGGTGTAAAAATCCCCCTTTTGGTACTTGCAGGTGCCACCATCTCACTCTCTTCACACTGCTCTGAAGGGAGAGATGGCGTGTTGAGGACTGGTGTGGTTATAGCTCTAACAAAATAGTCTGCCCAGACACAGCAACTTTGTTTCCTGGACAAAATAAATAAATGCATCTAATAAAAACTTATCATACTGTAAATAAGAATTTAGGGGGAAAAGTTTCTTTGAAGACAGAACTTCACTATACTTATTTTCAGGCAGATCAAGTCACCTCAATAGTCAATAAATGATCTTATTCAGCAAAGACAACACACTGATCCTTATAATTTTGCCATAAGATTTCAATACAATGAAAAGTAGGGATAGTTTAGTGTATCAAAGTAAGGTAGACTAAAGAAAAGAAAAAGAAAAATCACTTACTTGATATTATCAAGACAGCCCGATTCAGGTTTCAGAATGGCAGTGTGATGAAACATTTTATATAAAGCAATCCCAAGGAAGATTACATTAAGCTGGAATGTAAAAGGTACTGTTATATTGCATAACTGGAGTAGAAAAAAGTAAGTGTATTCTCTATGACAGATGAGTTGTTCTGGGAAATTAGCTCTCCTACACTTATAAAGGAATTGGATCATAGATGACTGCCTAGTATTTTAGTAAAAGCAAGAGGCCAGTTTGGGAACTCGGGATACCAATGAGTTACAAAGCACTGCTATGCCAAATACACACACATACAAAATCAGCAGCAGTTGGAATGATGATATGGAAACTGCAAGACAAAGCCAAGTAAAGTATATATATATTTTTTTCAAGTATATATTTTTTAAAAAGACAGTAATTATTCCAGGTATGTTACTATATCTACCCTTTAAACATGGCCCTTAATTTACTGTTCAAGTGCTACATTACAAAATATAAATACAAAAATCATAATATTTTTGAATAGCTAGGTCAAAAGGATTATAAAATGCTGGTTAAATTTTGATGCTACAACAAATTAGGATTAAAGTAGAGGGAACCCCCACTGACATTGTTATATCACTGGACCAAGAGAGAACATATGATTTGAAACAAAACAAAATAAAAGCTCCAGTGTACATTTCAAATATCACACATATGTAAACTGTATAGAAAAGCACATGTTGAATTGCCCTTGTCACCTGCTTCGTTTATATATTCCAGAACTTGGGGCTATTTTGTATTTTAAAATGGTAAGTATATAAATAATATACTACCAATAGTATCTCAATTAGGATAAATAATGCATATTTGAAATCAAGATATTATGCATTTAAAAATGAAAAAAAGAAAGTATGATTCCAGAATGTTTACCTAACTTACTTATCATTCTCAAGTGAAATCCTCTTAAATTTTAAAGCTTTTGATATTTATATAAAAACAAAACTGGAAGGAACAGGAAGGTTATTTTGCCACATTTCCAATTTCTGTTTCCATTCATAATTCAAATTATCCAAATGAAAAAGAAAGAAAATGTACTCTTTGTCAAACAAAGTCATCACTGTTTAAAACCTATAAAACGAAATGGATTATGCTAGCTCAGGCCCCTGAGGGGCCACAGTACTGCATAAGCTCTTGCAAATGCATGTTTTCTTCTCCCAAGGGTTTTGATTAAGTATTTTACAATATAAAAGTAGACTATAATGAGTGTCTAATTGCTTGAGTTATATAGGGTCAAATAAGTACATGCTTTCCCAAAATTACTCTATGTAAATTAAAGATAGACAGCACAAGGATAGTGAAAGTTTTATTTCTTGACCTCGGAAACACATAGTTAATTAGGAGTTCTTACCATAATTATCAAGGTCGCTGGTCCTATAAAACTCCAAATGAAGTAGGTGTCAAGTCGGAGCCAACATCTGCAATGAAACACAAGGAAGAGAAGGCATTCAAGGACTGGATATGGGACATACATCAAGAGTGAGCGAGTGACAGAGAAGAATGTGAGCTGCAAAGCATTCCACTGGGAGACAGGAAATATTACATTGCTTGTTCATTTAAATGCTGAATTATGTGCCCAATTTCTGACAGCACTATTGATGGAGTAAGATAATCACCCCTAGAGGAAGCAGGAAAAAAATGGCACTGGGCCTATTTGCTAGGGCCTTTTGTGTCTGTCATAGAAACCTTAAAAAAAAGAAAAAGAAAGAAAGAAAAAGCCATACATATAGCCATTAAATCGAGTAGCTTTAAGCTATCTTTTTCTCTCCAATTATGGTGCTACATAACCTGTCTATCAGCTGTCAGGTAAAGTGACATTTTCCTGTCAAGAAGATCTGAGGAAATTCAGGACAAAGAAGAAATAAATTTGGTATCAGAAAACTGAAGTTTAATTAGGTTGGGCAGCCAACCTTTGAGAGTTCTTAAGTCTTAAAAAGTGCATTGTTACTGCTAGTGCTTCTGGGGTTGCAAATTATCCTTAGCATCCCATGAAGTTGATTCATGACCCAAAAGTAAATTATTAATCACTTAATTTCAGTTACATTTAATACTCCCTCAATTCTTAAAGCCTCTGGGAAATTACATTTTCATTCTTCAGGATGACAGGGAGACAAAATGGAAGTGACTAGTTATGAGAAAGATTAATGTAAATTTTGAACAAATTACATTTGATGTTAAAAATCATATCTTGAATTATTTGCCATTTGGCTATATTTGAGGCATAATTAAAAAAGAAAACATCTCCAGTGGAAAACAGTAGAGTGCTTTGCTAAGTGGTCTAAAAGAGCAAATCCAAAGTATGTAAGTATTTCTGATTATTATGTAACTGTTACTTAAACCTCAGCAATAATGGAATACCAGAAAAGCTATGTAGAAAGAACTTTATATATGTCAATACAGGAATAAATAAATAAAATGTTCCCTATTCATATGATGAAATGTTATAAAATAGTCGAGAGGGAGGAAGTAGATCTTTATATGTCAATAGAATAGACCACAGTAACAAAGTTTAGTGAAAAAGTAAAGTGAAGAATCTATACATCTTTGAACTATAATACACATATTTTTGACAGATACATATATGTATGCAATTTTTTTAATGAAATGGGAAAAATCATCAAACTCAGATTAGTGATTGCCTCTCATATGTGAGTACAGAGGACCAGAAGCAGATGAAAGAGGCTTTAGCCATGTGCTTTATTTTAGTAATTACTGAAAGCTATGTGCCAAAATACTAATAGTTTTAACATTTGAGTGATAGAGGCAGTGATGTTTGTTATGTTTTTTTTTTACTTTTATGTAACTTGAATTTTTTTGGAAAAGGTTAGAAGCTAGATTTTTAAGTAAAGAAATAACCAAATGCCCTAAAAAAAAGTGATTTCAAAACAAGAAAATCTGGCCTTATTCTATTAAGTTAAATATATGTAAACTAATTTCAACTGGAGTATAATATTTGCAGTCCAATAAGAAACTGACTACAAGTTCATATTTTTTACATAGACATATAATTTCTCTTTATTCAAAATAAACCTAATAATCCAATTTGAAAAAATGTTATTAGGGAGGCAATCAATACTTAAACTATTAACCATTAGTTTGTTTGAGTAATTGGTTATCTTTTTGTTGTGCTGTTGTTCAAAAAATTTGGTCATGGAAAATAAGAGTGTGGTATTGCCAATAAGGAGAAACAAACCAGAGAACACAAAGGTTGAAATATGAACATTGTCTTCATTCTGACCAGAGGCTAGTTTGTTACCGCCCTAATAACAAAGGAGTGTGTGTGTGTTGCGTGGAGACCAGAGAAGGGGAAATATTTGTGGGTCTCTCTGCGTCCTCAACAAAGACCACATTTTCCCTCAAGATAAGGACAATAAAGGACAAATCATGGACACATTCCCAAATTAAAACATACAAAAGCATACACATACACACAAACACATACACCAGAGTCCAAGAATGTTGCTGAAATTGTAACAGCATGATATACTAATAATACATTTAAGAATGACTGTTAATAGTACAGCCCCTGTTCTGTAGGTCAGATGAGTTTTAGAGAGCTGATGTGAGAACCCCAAAACACATTTTCAGCAAGCTGTTTTCAAAGGAAAATGTATTTCAAGAATTTATGAAAACTGTTATTCTACAGGTTAATGACTTCTTAGACAAACAATTTTAACTACAATATTACAGAATGTCTTGGATAAAGTAGAGAATTTAAAAAATTTACATAATTTCACCAAATGTGTTGTTAAAATAAAATGATGTCATTAAATTTTAGCCTTACAAAACTTTTATACTTTTCGAAAAAGGTCTTTGTTTTGCAAATGCTTTATTTGGAAATAAATGTGCTTTTGGCATAGTGATCTCTAAGTGTAGAAGTGAAATTACTTTAGAAGTTATTTTTTCTGTAAGAAAATTCTTCAATATCTATTCGGTACAACAGATTTCAATTCTCTGAGGAACTGAACAGTGAAAGAGGCGATATGAAACACTTAACATGTATTAAATAAATCCTCTCTCCTTGATGGCTGCCTGGGCTTGACTACCTTCTGGACCACAGTATGGCAAGAATCCTTTTTCTAATTCAATTGCCATATGGCCATACCTGCTGTTTTTGGCCGCATGCTGGCTTTCTCAAAACTTTCTGTATTTCCTCTTTCCCATTAACTACCTTAAAAGTTTGTGTGATTTGTGCCCTGAGTTTCCTGTGCCAATGTTGAAAGAATTCACCCTGGCTTTAAGGTAAGGGAGAGTACAGACCAGAAACCATGGGGAATTGTTTCCAGCATCCCCCGTGGATACCAAAATCCATGGATGCTCAAGTGCCTTACAGCTGGCCCTCCATATCCATTCATGCTGAATGCACGGATCCAGAGGGCTGACTGTATTATGTGTGTGTTTTTACATGCCTGGGCACATACATCCTACCTCATAGTATTCTCTAAGTCTAGGCCATTCAATGTCACTTAGATACAATGCAAAACCACTGATTAAGGGGAAACAAATGCTATAAAGGAACAGCTTATTGTACTAAACATAATAAAGTCCAACTTGCAAATGGCCAGATAGACCTGCCATTGAAAAATACAATTTATCTGAAAATTGCCTTTATCCACTAAGCATCATTTAATTTGTGAAATCATTAATTTTAATAGGCTACTTTTGTTTACTTTTTAAGATATATCAATTCTTCTTTTAAATGAACTTCTGTCATATACATAAAATCTATAAATTATGTTTATATCAGTACTGTAATAAAAGAGATAACCCGCTGTTGAAAGAGCAAATGCATTCTGATGACACTACATGCTTATTTGAATCAAGACTGAAAAATCTTACAAGACCAGATACATTCTGGAATTCAAAGGAGAACTTGTCACATACCATAAACCTTTACTTTTTCTCCCATTTACCTATACAAAGATGTCACTGGAATTCTTTTTGTAGCAATTTTTAAAAAATTATAAAATCAGCATATATTGCCATATATTTGATAAAGTCTTACTACATTAATTCAGGTTTATTGGTTTAATACTCTAAACAACTGATACTAATCTGCATGGATAAATTATTATGCTCTTCCAGAATTATTTTCTTCCAAAATATAAGAAACGTCACTGCAAATTAAATAATAATAAAGGTGTTGAAATCTGGATAAGTCTCCTGTAAAAATGTTAATTACCAATTAAGCAAGTACTACCTTTAGGTTTACTCAGAAAACAGAAAAATAAAACAATGAAATAAATTAATTTCTCAAAACAGGACAACAGAAAACCATACTTCTAAAGCTAATTCTCTTCTCCTACTAAAATACTCCTCACCATTTTTCTATCATCAGTCATTTAAAAAAGGCATGGCTCTGTATTCTAAAAAGTAGTAAGACCAATTGCCCAACATATATAAATGTCACCTAAAACATATGTTTTATAATGTTTTTAGGTACCAGTAACACTACCAGAGTGTAGTTCCTTATTCAAAGTTAGTTTAACATTGTTCCATTAAGATGCCTTGGGATATTGTATTTTTTTGACTGTTTAATTCACTCTTATCAAAGCGGACATCTGACCATTAACCAATTCTTTGAAGTAATGTAAATTAACAATGATATTTGCTTCATTTTCTACAGGACCTAAATCACAGACTAAACTATCCTTGTTGAGTATTAAATGTAACCAGTAAACAATCTTTGTGACTGATAGACCATGAAATTTATAGGGTTTAATTATATCAGGTTGTTTATGAGAGTTTGTAAACTACACATTCTTCTTTTCTCTGTAGCATATGCAGATCTTTCTATATTTGTACTACAAATATCTGGCAAGATTGAGAGAAAAAAGAAGGAATAAAGAGAATTGGGGCAAGAAAGAAGGAAGAGAAGAGGAAAAGGGACAGATACACCTTCAAGCATAATAACTCTAGTTCTAAGCTTACTGCATAATACATCTGTTAAGGGTTTTAAAATGACATTTGTATCACAGCACACTCATGCATCTAATATTGAAATACTTTGTGAGCAAGTGCATGAACTGGAAAAAAGATTGGCAGAGTAATGCAGGAATGTAGTGTGATCACTGGTACTCAAGACTGGCATTTGTGGTTTAGCTACAATTTTGAATTTTAGAACACAAAACTAGATCTCATACATCAAATATAGGTTAGGTTGTCTTCATGCACCCAATATGTTTTTTTTTTTTCTTTGGCCGTGCCGCATGGCTTACGGGATCTTAGTTCATTGACCACGGATTGGACCTGGGCCCTCAGCAGTGAGAGCATGGGGTCCTAACCACTGGACCACCAGGGAATTCCCCCCAGTATGTTTTTAAAAAATAAGTGTTTCATTATTTCTTCAGCAAAATACATCCTATAAGTTTATGGTGGACTACAAAGGTAAGAAAAGTGCTGTGTTATAATTTATTAA